ATATAGACGGTGATGCTTTACTGTGCGTTAATTAGTCTAATGTGCAGTAAAGTGTCTCTTCTCATGTAGACGCACCCATAGAATAGTCGTGTTGGAAGACACTTCAGGAAGTCATTAAGCACAACTCCCTTCTCATTTAGCTAGTCAAAAATTAAACCCGCCTTATTTCCCCATTTCATAAGAATGTGTACATCCACAATCCTTGCACAACCTATATAAGAACATTACTGCATCCCCTGTGTTCCAGAGAATCGTAAGAAAGGGAGCCCTGGGAATCACCGTCTACATGTCTAGAGAGCTGACAGCTGGCAAGGGTGGACGCATATATTTATACATATATGCACATGTTCATTCAGTGTTATGATGTACCCTCACAAATAGTGTTGCAAATCATTTCACTGTAACCGCAGCTCAACTAGAGATTGCTCTACAGCTTTCAATACAACAACATACTACTAAACCACCCTATATCTGAATGACATTTAATCACTTAATCTTTGGTACAAAATTCTGATTAGCTGACTTTCAATCAGAGTAAGCCATAATCAGCTACTTTAACATGGAGAAAAACAGGAGGTACATAATATAAACCTACATTAAAACCATTAAACATAGCTATTTTAGGACTCATCCACAACTAATTACCTAAAGACTTTATAAATGTATATTATATGCTACCATTTAATTACCAAAATCTCAAAGAACTCAGAAGGTATAGCATAAAGCAGAGCTGTCCAGCTGGCAACCAGTCCCTGAGGAGGCTCCTCGGCTCCTGGTCTGGGTGTTGCTCCTCCCGAACCCGCACTGCTCTTTTGCTGCTGCTGCCAGCACTGAAGTCTCAGGACAGGATGGCCCAGAAGGCCAAGGGAGCTCAGGGGATCTGGGGAGCACGGCATGGTACAATGAGAGGAGGCCCACCACATGGTGCGGTAAAGAACGGAGAAGCCCATGTGGGATTATGATGTGCAGGGCATAGCAGCACTGATACAGAGAGGTGGGGCACCTACTACATGGCATGGGGCCCAAGGGGCCTGCAGCTCCTGGCCACTCAGAAATAAGACAGCCCCGGCATAAAGTATCATTCAACTACAATGATAACTAAAATAGATATTTTGATATACTAACCTACATGTTTAATAACATTATGTATTATTGCTGAATATCTAATTTAGATGCTTGATTAAATTTTAAAACTAGTTATTTTCTTCAACAAGACACTATTTTCTTTTATCAAACATTGCCTTTGTCACGGTCAATCATCATTACAGGAATTCTTAAGGTTAAAAAGGGAGCAATAAAAAATAGGAAGTGCATGCATTAACCCTCTTAAGTATACCACCTGCTGTATTTGGTTATAAGCAGGACAGATTCCTACATTTCACAAACTACCCTAATTATTGTCTAAATTGCCTTTATTTTGAACTTGTGAATATTATAAAGCTCCACTAATGCTAACAAATCATTGTTTCCATAGTTACTCAAGTGGAAAAAGCAAAGGGAAACTATAAATAGTGCAAGGTCTGACGAGTCTATGGCATCAACAAAATGTGAGTTATGCAATACGTTAAAGTGTTGAAAAGAACTACTTAACTCATTTTCAACTTTGCCATCCTTGATTAATATACTCTTCTCTCAAGCACAGCAATTAGAATCTTTGTACCATCTCAAACAATTGGGCATTTTTTCTACATATAATGTATATCTTATATCAAAATATACATTTTATACCTTTCAAAAAACTCACTAAAAATATAAGATGGAAAAAAAACCCAATAACCCTTCCCTCCCCCCACAGGAAAAACAAAAACCCAAGATAAACTTACTATATGTTGCAAGTCTTCATATTAAGACCAACCAAAATCAACCATAAAACAATTTGGCTGAAATTTTTGGAAGATAACTGAGCTTTAGAAATTTCTTGAGGTGAAATTACTGCAAAAATACTATTTCCAGTTTACATTATGATTGTTATAAAAGTCCAGAGTCTCCTTTACAGATAGAGAAGGGCCACCCATTGTTATAAAAGTCCAGAGTCTCCTTTACAGATAGAGAAGGGCCAACCTCAAGTGTTCAGTGAACACAGCAGTACCTCCAATTAAGCTGAAGAACTGAGGAATTTTTCTTCCAGAGTTTGAAGAAAAGCACTGAGTTGTTCTCCAAAAGGAAACCATACTTATATCTGCAGCTGTCATATTTTTATGTAATGAAAACTTTGCATGCTCTTTTTGTTCCCACTAATTACAACAACAAGACTAAACAAATGCTACAGATTCCAATACATCAAATATACTCCAAATATTCAATTATTTCTTTTTGTTTTGGTGTTCCCTCATCTCCATACCTCCTCTTCCAGAAATTGCTGAAAATCTGAACAGGCATTTTTGATCTACCTTTCAGTCTAGTTAGGGACCAAATTAAATATCAAAAAATTATAAGGTCATTTGAAAGCATTTTATGTTTGTATTTCTCCCCTCATTTATATTGTGGTAATATTTTCTCCTGTTCTAACATTGCAGAAAGAATCTACCATTCTACCATTACAGAACTGTAATTCTGGGGTTTGAATCCTATTTTCACATTATTTGTGATACTTTGCTAGAATTTTCAAAATTGTACATTTTACATTCTTCATTTAGCATGTAATCCTTTTTGGTCTTTGTTTCTTTTGTAACACAAAACTGTTTTGTTAGTTTGTACACCAGCCTTATTGATAATGTTTTGGGTACAGAATCTGAAAGCTCATTTATTTGTACTTTTCTCAGATGAATATGTAGCAAAGCTCAAAACAACATAAATAATGTCTATGAAAAATATGAAGAATACTTTGCATTCAAAAGCTTGTCTAACTCCAGTCCAACTATGCAGCTGGTGTAATAAAAGCAAAAACCCTCAGGTTAGGCTTGAGGAGGCTGGGGAAGGTTAGATCATGTGAAAAATGACCACCCAATCTAAATTAGATCACCCAGGTGCAGATCTTACGCTTAGATCCCTACTTAGGTTGATCTAAGTGTGAACTGTACAAAAATTCAGGAAGTTTAAATTGGTCTAAAAATGACCAACCTGATCCAAGTTAACCTAACCTTGGAGTAAGTCTAACTTAGATTGGATCCTGTGAGACTGATCTAATCTGTACATTTCCTAGTGCAGCCCCAGGATTGGAAAAGCACAATTGCTGGCCCCAGCCCTAAGCTCTTCCTACCCCGCCACCACGGACTGGCTATTTTTAGGCCCCTGGTCCCTTGCCCTGCTCCTACACGGACAACCCCCACAACCCATGGACCACCTACCTTCTCCCCAGAGCCCATCAAACCCCTCCATTCTGCAAGCTGCTCCCAGAGCTGGTTTTACCAGCATTTGCCAATGCTGGGAGCTGACAGAACTTAGGGGAAGGGAGGGGTGGACAGCTCAAGGGAGTTAATTCACTAGGGGGGTGCTTGTTCATCTGGGGGTGGTGGGGATCAGGAGGCTACAATAGCTCCTGGCTCTGGAGGGGGGCAGGGAAGAGAGAGCCCCCCGCATCCCACCAAACTTCTCTGCAGAGCCACCAGCTTCCCGCCACCCCAACTTACTTCCATCAGGCTCCTAGGACCAGTGAACACTGATAAAACCATCCCTGGGGGCAGTTTGTGGAACTGGGGGAAATTTAGCGGCACTGGGGAGGCTGGAGGGGTCCAGGGCTGGGAGGGGCCTTTGGCAGAATCGTAGAGCCTCTCTGACTGCCAATCCCCCTACCCCTCTGCAGACCCTGCCACTACCTGGATCACTCCCCCAATTTCCCTGGGGACCTGCTTGCTCCCCCGATTCCCCAACCTCCTCATGGACCCTGTCAACCCCCTGATCCTTCCCATGGACTCTGCTTGCTCCCTGATCCTCTCCAAGCCCCCTGCAGATTCTGCTTGGCCACCTGATCTCCCCACCCCGACATGGACTCCAACTGTCCCCCTAGAATTCTCTGCCAATTCCCCCATCCTGACTTACCTTAGATTGTGTGGCCATGTTTAACACAATCTAACATCCCCCTAACCTCCCTGAATGCTTTCCCCTAACCTCACCAAATATTGTAATGTTTTCTAAATTCTGTTCAGAACTTGTAGAACCCTCCCTGGACCAGATAAATATAAATCCTTTACTTGACCTATCTGATACACAAGAAATTCATGCCTGGCTAAGTACATGAAATATTCCCATTCTACTTAAGTGGAGTTGCAATAGGTATGAAATTAGTTGATCAGCCCAGAACATAGCTACAAAATTTTTATATCACAGTTTAAGAGCCTCATCATATTTGTAACTGAAATTTTCCCCATAAAGGAATCATCATAATGTTTTTGATGTTTTGGCCCCTAGGAGTGAGTCATATGTGCCATGGTAGAAAGTTAAATATTTAGGATGAAAAAGTGGGTGCAAATCTTTTATTGCCTTACAGATACTGATTACAGGAAGCTCTAGAGGGTTGGAAAAAAATCAAGTGTATTGCTATAAAGTGAAAGGCTGCCTATCTGAAATACTATGGGGAAAGCTGTCAACAGTAAATAGTTGATATACTAATGTATAGGATTCCTGATTCTATCCTATTATCATGTTTTTACATATCAGTGAGTTTCCCCTAAAACAGAAAATGCAAACATACTACAAATTCTTTTTAGGTTATGCATGTGTATTAATTTAAGAGATGAATCTAAGTGGCTAGTTAGTTTCTTTAATTGTGATATGAACTCTTGTCACCATATAAACCAAGTTCTTAATTTAAAACCTTTTTCAGAAAGCAATTCTTATTGGCAATGAAATACGCAAACTGAAAGCAGTAGCTACCGTTACTCAACTGAATAACAGAAAAGCCCGAAACTCTAGTAATTATTGCCTTCACAACACAGAATTACTGTTATTAAAAAAATGTAGCCTCTCTTCTAGTTTCCCATAAGCATTTTAATATATTTAATGTTTTAGCTAGGCCTTTAAGTAGGCAGAATAGCAGCACAGAAAATAAATATTTTCCTTACCTGTGTATACAGTTATTAGATTCGAGATATGCCATACCAGAAGCAGCATCTAATGAAAATTTCACTAACTGTTTGATTTTTAGCTCATCTTTCTTCTTTCTTAAAAAGGAAAGGAAATCACCTCCTAGAAAAATAGACAGATGGACAATAAGACATGACAGCAATGATACCCACATCTCTCTCATTAGGAATGCTTCACTGAACAAAAAGTATTACACTATCAGTTATACTTTTCAACTAATTTGTCTAGGATAAAAAAAAATAGAACACATTCCCATCAGTGTGAGGTCTCCTTTAGCTACCCTAAATACTGATCTAAGTGCCCCTAAGTGAAAACTGCACAAAGCGTGACAAGATTTAATCAAGACCATATTTTTATTACACGGTACATCAAATTTTCCTCCGTCTGTATTCAATATATACTTGAACAACACTGAATTATGGACGAAAAGAGCATATTTTAACGGGGTGAGATAAGAAGCAGCTTTAAGTTCTTCATGTTAGCTGCTATGGTTTATTGAAAACTGTAAATATGCAAAAGGTGATTTGCAGATTTAAGATCCTTAAGAAATGGATCTTGTGATTTAGAATGAAGTAAACAAGAGGAAATGCAAGTTCTAATAGACTTCTATAGTTTGTGTCAGAACTTGAATTAAAGACCCCTTTCTAGAGGGAGACTCACTGAGACAGACAATGTCAGCAATTACAATACTGTATTTACTCAAACATAAGAGGACCCTGAATACAAGACCCCCCGCAATAATTATATACATGAAAAATTTATAGTTTTGTTATAATTTTCCAGGTGTAGAAGCTAATTATTGGAGGTTTACCTTCAATTTGTCTTCCTCCCACTGCTACAGCAGGGAAAATAAATTGGGAGGGAGGGGGTCAGGTAGCCCCCTTGTCCTTCATTTGCTCCCCCTGCAGCCATTTCCCCTGTTCCTTGCTGCCAGAACCTCCCTTCCCTGAGCATATGGAAGTGAAGGGCAAATTTGAAAACAATGATCTTGAAATACATATTTCTGTTGTAATTTGCATAAAATTACACATAGACTTGGTTCATCCACAATTGATGCAATTTGCCTTTTTTGACACTGCTGCAAGTTTTAGAACAGGTATTCCTTAAGCAGTACTTTTGTCCCTACATTTATATAACACAGACTAGGGTTGTGCAAAATGGCTGTGTTTTGATTCAGTTTCAGATTCAGCCGTTTTGGAGGACAGCGATTCATTTTGGTGTTTTGGATCACTGTCCTGTTTCATTTTGGACGAATCTGTTTTGGAGATTTGGTTCCACCGAATCTCCTATGAATGTTTTGAATGGACTGCAAGGCAAGCTTTGCACACGCCTACCCAGCCAGGTGTGGCTTGGGGTCTCAGCAGGGAGCAGACAGAGCTGTGGGAGGCTCATCTGGGAGAGGGCCACTGCCCTCTCTATAAGTGAGGAGGTCCCTGCGCGGACCTCTGATCCCTGTCATACTGGGTTGTGGGCTAGGAAAGCAGCGCAGAGCAGCAAGCAAGCCTGCTGGTCTCTGCTGTGTGACTTAGCTCCACAGGGAACAGAGATCCACACTACGGGTCTCCTCACTGCCACTGCCCACCCCGCACTGCCCTTGATCTCTGCTCCCTGAGGAGCCAGGTTGTGCAGCAGGGACCAGCATTGCCCTGCCACGTGATCTGGCTCCTCACAGATCCACGCCAGGACAACCTCACCACCACTACCCCAGATCTCTGCTCCCTGTGGAGCCAGGTCACGTAGCAGGGACTAGCACTGTCCTGCCACATGACTCAACTCCATGGGAAGCAGAGATCTGTGCTGGGGGGAGGGGGGTCTCCTTACTGCTGCTGCCCACCCCATGCAGCCCCACATCACAAGGGGCAGTGTGGGGTGGGAAGCAGCAGCAAAGAGACCCCCGCTGTGGAGCTGAGTCACATGGCAGGGCAGCAGCATACAGCTGTTTCCCTGCAAGCCCGGCTCTGGAACTCTGAAATTTTCCAGAACATTACTGAAATGTTTCGAATGCCTCATTTCATTTCAGAGTATGTCTGTATACTCTACATACTCCTGCAAAGGGTCCATGTGCTATTTAGCTCCCTGACTCGGTGTTCTTGTTGAGTGTTGGGATGCTGCAAAAATGTACATGCAGATGAAGTGCTGGACAACCTAGTGTGCTCCAACTCATGGAGAGCAAGGCCACACTAACCGTATGAAACAGGAGAGACGGGGTGACAGAGCAATTCTGGGTGAACTGTTTGGGGCCCCGTGAGGTGATGTTTGCCAGATATTTAAGGCTAGTGAAGAAACAGGAATCATCGGAAATGGGAAAGGCAGGCACAGGTCAGATATGGGAGTGAACAGGAACTCAAAATGTATTCAATGCAGTGGGTCACCATTACTTGAAAAAATCACTGCTGAGGGGGACCAAGTACAATGGGGACTACCATATATCTTACTGAGATGAGCTGCACTAACCTATCCTTGTGGTAGGTTCCCATCAATATGTTTACCCAATATGGACATGGCAGGAGAAATACCATGACAACCAAGGTGGTTTTCCTAATGGCAGGGGAAAACCACAAATGTGGCAGGGGGTAGCACCTGACTGAGGTAATGCATAGTTAGCCTCCCACTTTCACTTCTAGTGGGAAGATCTTGGCTATACGCTGACTTTATGGAAATTGGAGGCTCCTCCCTAGCTTGTTCCTGAGAGCATATGGCTGAGGGCAAGTGAAACTCAGGGGCATCTGCACCCTAAGCCTTTGGGCTTGGGCCTGCATGTAGAATGCCTGCCAAAGGATTTGGAAGTATCTTAAGCCCCAGAAGGGGGTGGAGAATGCTTGCCCATAGCAGGGCCATGTACAGTTCTTGAAGGACTCGCACAAATTTGGAAGCGATTTGGTTGATCTGACTTGAGACGCAACATTTTTTCCTAAAAAGGTTCCCATCAATATGTTTACCCATTATGGGCCATGGGTTTTACAGTCACACTTAAGTTGGCTATATTTAATCAGCTTTATAGTTGGTTTCCATTGCTGAGCACATGTTGCTTTTGGCAGCAGTTTAATGGTGGATAATGTATTTAGTGAGGTTTTTGTGGACGCAAATGTAAGATGAGGAGCTTTTTTTTCCATGCTGACTGGGATGAAAAACCTTGTCTTATATTTGAGTAAATACAGTATGTTTTTTCATGAGATTTATAGGCTGTTGTATGAAGAACCTTCCAGTCTTTGTTTGCTTTTATTCAGAATGCAACTGATTCAAGTGATCCTTTCTCTTAAGTAAAACATAATCTCTCTTAGCAATGGAAGAGACATTAGCATATGCTAAATGTTTCAGCTGGGATTTTCTTAGCAGGATATATCTATTTATTTCACATTATAAGAGGTAAAGAGGTTATTAGCGAAAGACCTTATTAACAGCAGACTCTCTCGCCTACTAGCTTGAAGTCCTCAAATAGTAAGATAGAGTGTTTGTGAGAGGGATTAGGGACTTGTGAGAGGATTTAGGGACTTAATTGCAAACTGATACACTTTTCCCTCACTTTGCCAAGGTTCTGGGCTTCTTTTGACACAAAGACGCTGGAGGTGAAGGCTTAATGGGTTGTTCCTAAATGAAAACTCCCAGAAGGTAAATACCTGCTTAACCTCCAATAAAGGTCTGATATCCCGTCCCCACCCCCCATGCTTTTCTTGTTTGCCCTTAGCATTTGCCTTCAGGCACTTCAGAAAAATATACTGTCCTAGCGCTCTAAATTCTGACTGACTTTTGCGTATCAGGTAGACATGTTGAGAACAGGTAAATAATTTCACATATGTGCCCTTTTATCAGTGACAAGCCCCAGATGAATAACTTTTTATTTTATTTGTTTACAGTAAGATACCCAATAAACACATAGATATATACACTTCTGGGGGGGGGGCAAGGGGAGGGTGTTCTTATGTATACATATGCACAAACATAATACTGACATTTTAAACATGATACATAAACACATACTTTATATAGATTACATACCAATCTACATATATGATATATGTTTGTGTTTGCGTGTTTATAGTACATAGAAATACATATATTTCAATAAAGGTTACAGGGAGGAAAGTTCTTTTGCAGTGTTCAGTAACTGATTTCTCCTCTCACGCTAGTCCAGTGATTCTCAACCAAGGTGCCGTGGCACCCTGGGGTGCCATGAGATCCTTTCAAGGGTGATGCAAGTGCCATACAATATTAGCGTTCTTAGATGTGCAATACAATTTACAAGATAAACCCAGAGACTTACTCTAGGAATCCAAAGTGTTAAAAGCATCTTACAATCTTAACAAAGATAATCAGGGTTAAAGTTCAAAACACAAAAATGGTTCAAGAATTTGTTTTATATAGGCAAAATGGAACAAGCCTAGAAAAAAAACTTTCGGCTCAACATTAGCAAAATTCTGAAAATAAACTCCATAGTGACATGAAATAGTCTCCCAAGTAAAATGGTTCAAGCCTTGTTTTTTGGGTACATAGGTAGTCATAACTGGACAATAATTGGACAATAATCTTCTACATGAAAAATAGAGAACAATCCTGCTTTGGCACAAAGCAAAATGGCCAGTGCCCCTGGCAAATGCTAAAGCAATGCTGCAATTGGAATCAAAAGAATTTTATGTCCTGTCCCAAACCTTGCACCTTCTGTCATGCCAGATGGGCATAGCAGGAGGCATTATGTTTTGGATGGGGCATAACATTTCCCTATCATGCCACTGTAGAGCTTCCCCCAGTCTGAGGGAATCAGACAAGAGGTAGCTCTGTGGATCAGGCAAGAGATGGATCAGGCAAGGGGTAGCTCTGTTCCAGACCAAAGGCTGCCCCCAGTCCTGAGCTGGGTCCAGACACTGAGCTGCTTGGGGTCAGGGTTGACAATAACTGATTGTTGGTCCTGGGACAGCCCTAGGACAGTCTGAGACCTGGGGATATCCTGGGGCCAGTTCAGGGCCTGGGGCTTGGGACAACAATCAGCTGATTTATGGAGCCATGAATTGGTTGCACATATATAACTGTTACTATTTATGGTGAGATTAACACATCAATCACACACTAACTGTAACATGTCCCATGGGTCAAGAAGAACTTTTTTT